TCTTCACATTGATCTATATCTATAATATCCTGTAGGCTACCAGGACTATAACAGATAATCGTGGATTGAATATTAGTTTGGGGACAAATGAACTCTTCTATCAAGTCGGTCTGATTCTTAACAGCCATTTGATAGTTTTGATTTTTTGTCAGCCCAATCATGCATCAATATAGTCTATGTTCAATATGCTTGAGCAATTTTCTGAAAGAATGACGGAATGTATTGCAACAGGTTCAGTGGCTTTGGGGACAAATGAACTCTTCTATCAAGTTGGTCTGATTCTTAACAGCCATTTGATAGTTTTGATTTTTTGTCAGCCCAATCATGCATCAATATAGTCTATGTTCAATATGCTTGAGCAATTTTCTGAAAGAATGACGGAATGTATTGCAACAGGTTCAGTGGCGTAGCGTGGGTATTCTATGAGTGTACGCCACGAGTGAGTGAAGCGAACGAGCTTTGAGGGGGTGGGGGTTCTTCCCCCCCCAAGGGAACTTGAAAAAATTAGATTGCATTTGAAGTGTCTGGTGCGTTTTAAAATACGAAATTCCGACTACCAAAAAATAATATGGATTAATAAAATGTTAGGTATTACTTCAGAATATCAAACGTGGGTTTTTTCGTTCGATTATTTTGATTTTCATTGTATCTTCTTCGTCCTGCGGGACACTAGGCATAGGCCCGGAACATGTATAACATTGAGTCAAATTCACTTATAGAACATGCTGTAAGCTTTATTTCTTTACATTTTTACGGGCCTATGCCTGGGCTATGACTCTAGACCTAGACTACTAGATCTATAGGACTTAGACTAGCCTAAAGCTACAGCCTTAGATCTAGCTCTTTCAGAGGCTGTGACTGATATGTTAGAACAGCCTTTAGAGCCCCCTATCAACCGCTTCAAAATTGTGTTAGTATCCTCCTTGCGAAAATCGAAAAAAATTAAAAGGTGCTTCTGTGCCGAACAGCAAATTCTCATTATACATTGAGAAGATACTCTTTACCAAGAAACCAAAAATGGAAGTTTTGACGGAAAGACATGACGTACAAGTCAAAATCTCTGAATCTTGCTAGGTACATGACAGATAAAGAGAATTTAAATCCTGATCGGCAAAGAAACGGCTAATAACTTACATATTTTCTCAACAAAAAGCACTGATGTAGCTCACATTGGGAGATAGTAGTAAGCACTCTATTGAAGTTGATTTCAGTAGATCAGTTACACCTGTCATGATTTCAAGGAAAGACGCAAAGTATCCGTCAAAAGAGAAAAGCTTACATAAATGCGAGCAAAATCTGCAGATTTATTATAGCTATTGACTTCTCGAATGTGTTGAACGCACAACTCTAAACAATACTTGAAATTGAATAAAATTGACAAAATATGAGAAGACAGTCTAAAACTTAACTGGGAGAGCTGCCATTGTTTGCCCGGAAATCTTCAGAGATTTTGACTGGTACTTTGTGTCTTTCCATCAAAATTGCCATTTTGGTTTCTCGCTGGGTAATTCAGTTATTCACAGATGAAGAGAAATCTTGATTGACAAAAATACAGCTGATAGCTAACAGCTTTTCTTAAACAGAAGATAAAGGAAGATATAAAGGAACCTGTTATGATTTTGAAGCGGGTGATAGCCGATAGGGGGCATGTTAAGGCTGTAAGTAGAGGGTGTAGCAATAAATCTAACCCAAATAGAGTTTAACACATCTCAGTAAAGGCAAAATTAAAATTCATTAAAGTTTCATTACTTTAGCATGTGTACATTTGCTGGCCTTCTAATATTTTGCCAATAGATTTGTTAGGCTTGATTGCAAATTCTTATGAAATATATGAGTGTATGGTTTCAATGTACTGTAATCCCGATATTTTTCGCGTGCAATTTAGTTTCGTGCTTTTCGCAATTGTGTAAAAATCACGAAAATTAATAGTCGCGAATATCGCCAATTAAAGGCTGAGGTGCAACATGCCATTGACTAAGATCTAGAGATTGTAAATCTTATCCAAAGTATATGATATTGGGTAGGTGTAATTACTGTAGATAAGGTAAATTAATTTTGAGGATTCAGAGAATAATGGAAGTTAAACCTTTGATATCCGCAAAATTTAATGGCCGCAAAATTGGTATTTCTCAAAATTCATGAAATTTAAACTCGCAAATTAACCGGTAGTACAGTATTTGCCTGTGGAATAATTATGATATTGAGAGCATTGATGAAACAAATGCAATGAACTGATTTGATTGGCCAAGGGAGCATTGGAATTTTGACCTGAAGTTCACATGATTGTTGCTATAGGCCTTATGATTTTTTGGAATTCCAGTAATACTATTAATGTCTATTATACTTATACAGTAAAACCTGTCTAATCCAAATGCCACCGCTACCAATTAAAACATTCAGATTTAAACGTCTGATTTCGAGGTTTTTGCATCTGAAAGATTCTTGATTTTGAAGAAATATTAATGCATTTTCACTTAATATTACTAGCATTGTAGACGTTATGATTTTTTGGAATTCCAGTAATACTATTATACTTGTACAGTAATATCTGTCTAATCCAAATGCCACCATGACCAGTTAAAACACCATGACCAGTTAAAAAACAACATTCAGATGTGGAGGTGATCGGATTTCGAGGTTTTTGCATTCACAAGATTCTGCATTTTAAAAATATAAATGCATTTTCACTAAAAAGTATTAAGATTACTTTTGACCGCATAGCTTTATGACATTCATGAATCCAAATCGAATGCTTGAAAGGTAAAACAGAAGTATGCAATCAGAGATGATAGATACTATTGCATGAGTATATGAAGGCCATGTGTCAATGTGTCAACTCTTCGATTGATAATACGCCTCGAAATAAACACCCACTGGCTTGGGAAAGCTATTTTCCCTCTTAATAAATGCCTGTCCCCTTGGAAAAATGTTTTCAATTTCCCTTTTAGTCTTAATAAAAGCCAATGGCATTTATTTTGAGTTCTTTCTAATAAAGGCCCTGTGCAAAATTAATGCTCAGTGGGCCTATATGTTCGTTGAATTTAAAATTACCCCTTCTACTCAATTTTTATAAATGTTTTATGCATCAGTATGTTGCATTTGGAGATGGGGTCTTTGCACCTTCCCTGTCTCAATCTTCAATTTTTTTTATCATCTCTATGAGTACTTTTCCTTTAGATAATGCATTGGCCTAACATACACACCTTACATTTTCAGACAATTTCTGCAAATTTCTGTACATATGACCGTCTAAATTCTGTTGCGAAACCTTTAGTATTCTTTCAAGCAATTTCCTGCTTACATGAAAGTCTTTTACATTCTGTTTTTTTTATGTAACATAATGGCTGATATCAATATTGTTCAAAGTTGTATATGTTTACACTATGGAACTAATCATTCTTTGAATTGAGTTCGATTCCTGAACAACTTGATATTTGACTAAACATTCCTTGGATTTGATTTGGTTTGATGAAGAGAAATCTTGACTGACAAAAATGCAGCTGACCCTTCTACTCAATTTTTATAAATGTTTTATGCATCAGTATGTTGCATTTGGAGATGGGGTCTTTGCACCTTCCCTGTCTCAATCTCCAATTTTTTTTTATCATCTCTATGAGTACTTTTCCTTTAGATAATGCATTGGCCTAACATACACACCTTACATTTTCAGAAAATTTCTGCAAATTTCTGTACATATTACCGTCTAAATTCTGTTGCGAAACCTTTAGTATTCTTTCAAGCAATTTCTTGCTTACATGAAAGTCTTTTACATTCTGTTTTTTTTAATGTAACATAATGGCTGATATCAATATTGTTCAAAGTTGTATATGTTTACACTATGGAACTAATCATTCTTTGAATTGAGTTCGATTCCTGAACAACTTGATATTTGACTAAACATTCCTTGGATTTGATTTGGTTTGATGAAGAGAAATCTTGACTGACAAAAATGCAGCTGATAACTAACAGATTTTCCCAAACAGAAAATATAAAAAAAATTTAAAGTGAGCACTTGATTTCAATAGTTTAGTTTCACCTATGCTTTTGAAGCGGGTGATAGCTGATAGGTGTCATGTAAAGGCTTTAAGTACATGGTATAGCATTAAAAACATTTAATCAAATAAGCTGGAAATTTTTTTGAGAAATGATATGATGGTGAAAGAAATAGATACAAAATTATAAAAAATTTATAATTAGCGAAAATTGATATCCGCAAAATTTCAAAATTGCAAAATTGTGAAAGATAACAGCATCAAATATTAGTGGCAGTACAGTATTTGCATGTGAAATAATTATGATATATTAATATAATAATATAATAATTGATGAAACAATTGCAATGAACTGTTTTGATTAGCCAAGGCCAGAGCATTGGAATTTGAACTTAAGTTGAGTATAATGTTATTGTATAAATTTAAAAAATAATTATAGAGACTTCTTACAAAGTTGGTCTTCATTTCAAATAGCTGAGAATATTTTCCAAAATAGATTGACTAGGCCTTCAGATTTTTTGAATTTCAGTATTACTATTACTTATACAGTAAAACCTGTCTAATCCAAATGCCACCGTGCAGTTAAAAGCATTCAGATTGGGAGGTGTTCGTTATCACAATAGATTATAATTATATCATTGATAATTTAGAGTTTATTCAAAGATGGCAGCAGCATTCTCAGAACCTGACAATCAGAATCTCATTAAACTTTTGTTCACGTTAGTTATTTAAACTTTATATTCATCTATAGATGGCAGTTCTTAAATATATGATAGACACCAATAATTCAACATCATAATTTAACCTTTTCCATTAGATATACCCTGTATCAAGCACAAAAACGTATTTACACCCTTTATTAAAATGGCAACCCCTGTATCACGCACTTGTTTTAATTAAACATATTTGTATCTCTTTTAAAATAGGTGTAATAAGAGGATGCTCTTATTAATTTAATGTATAAAATACTACAAACAATAATAAATACAATATTTAAGTAAAACATACCTAATAGTGGCTAAATCATTTAATTACGTTGTAGACGTTTTCCAGCTTAGGATAAATGTGCGTTCACTTCCTGCACAAGGGCGTATATGTTTATTCTGTGAATGCCTCTTTGTGCAAAGAATTTCACTTTCTTTTTTAGTGTATTTGAAGTTTTGAATGCCTCGATGTTTGTTAGATTTATTCAATTCAGTAGAAGAGCTGTATGTAAAACCTGTTTTTTGTATATCTCACATTTTCAGCGTCGGTATGAGTTCTGGGAACTGCTTATTATTCAGAGTTTAAGTTTGAATTATATTTTTGGATGACTCATGACATCTCTGATCTCGTAACACCTCACACACTTTTTAAGGTGCGCCATTCATGTGGAATATAATTTAGTTTCATTTTAGTCCTGCTTTTTCCTTATTCGCCATGACATCATTTTTAGCCGAACCAGAGAATGTATTTGCTGATAGGATTAATTAGACACGACTTATTAAACTTTAGTGTTTTATAATGTTGTCCCTTGTGCATTCTCACTGTGATTTAAGATACAATTAAGCAGCTCTATATTAAAGAACACAAGACATATGTGATTTAAATCATCTACAATTCAATTAGTCATGTGCTTAATCTTTTGAAATTATACATGTATATCAAATTCAGTTGTTTTCATCATAATTAAAACCGCATCGTTTTAAATGTTCATGAAAAATGCAAAATGTGTCAAATATTGGAACCAATTCCTAAAAACCATATATTGTTAAATAATGCCATTTTTGCGTTCAATTTGTCTCTATAGCTACTCTGTTCATAAAAATGTCTTATTTAATAATGTGAATCAACAAACCCTCTGTTCATAAAAATGTCTTATTTAATAATGTGAATCAACAAACCCATGATCCATGTTTGATATGTTTGCTAAAGGCTAAAGATCACCTGTGTTAACATTCGTGTCATTTTCAATATAAAAATGTTGCTACTTATTTAAAAACATAACGAAAGAATTTTACTCTGATAGACATACACGTACGCAAGCCACAGGAACATGAATGTCGTTATTTTTGATTTTACTCCAAAGATTTCAATCTGGTTTGTTTGTTGCTAAAAGAGGTAAAACCATACATTGCATTTTTAAAAGAACTTGTACGTAAATTTGTGGAATTATGGTTATATATAGGGCTTAGTTTTTCCTTCATATAAACTTGTTAAAGTGAGTATAAGGATGGTGTAAGGAAAGGGGTATAATAAGTACACTTAATAAAATAGATGACAGGGGGTGGGTGCTTAATCCTCTGTATGCCGGTGTAAAAGGGTAGGAGTGCCTATCAAATTATGGTCCTACTCTTTATTGATTTATATGGTAACCCCTTTCCCTTATTATCTTATACATAATCAGGGCCACAAAGGGCCGCTGAGAAAAGGGACCATAATCCCCGGGGGACCATAATTTCTTTCACACCGGTCAAAATATTAAATATTCACGTACAAGCTCTTAAAAACGATGTATAGCTGAACTGCCCTAGCTGTATGAATATGTTTAAAGTAACTGGGGATTTTTAAAAACAATCAAGTTAAGTATAGATTATTATAATTTCAGATTCTAACCATTCCAACTGTGTCGCAACAGTGAGCACTAACTGACGTTAACGTATCTAAGATGGCGGAAAGTGCAGACGCGGCCGCTGAAGATAGGAAGCCATTAAAATCACGCTTTAACGAGTACATTGCGGCGACCTCTGCGAGTACCGCTGTGAAGAAGAATGGATTAAATGTGAAAGGGTTTAAGCGAATTTGCGATGATTGTAAACTTCTGGGCAAGAAAATGAACCAAACTGAAGCTGATATCAAATTCAGTAAAGTGGCGCAGAAGAAAAAGTGAGTAAAAAGGTCTCTGGTCTCTACAGTGTTATGGTATGAATCATTATGTGTTTCTCGTGGGAATAGGACGAAAACTCGAGCATCCAGTCTTGTATCGCAGCATTTAAATGGGTATATTAAAGTGGCCACAAAGACCAAGAGTTGATAGTATTTTTCAAAAACTCAATTTCAGAATATAACTTGTTCGAATCATTATACATTATGTCATGTCTATCTAAATGTAAATAGTACTAATAGGTTTTCTGGCAAGATAAAGATGAATTTTATAATCTTGGACATAATTGATTTGTACATGTTAAGTCATCACTATCTCATGTCAGATATCTAATCCCATTTCTTTCTAAAAATACAACAATAATTGTAAGAGAAACATGTTTCCAATTTCTTTCAGAAAAGGTTCCATGCGTTTTTAAAGTGTATTCGTTGAAAATTGTGCTCCTGTCAATGATCGATACCATGCATTAATTCGTTTTTTTAGTTTTGACCTTACTTACCATGCTTTCATCTACGTGTAATTTAGATAAGGTAGCTTTACAAAACACTGCATCAAATGTGGAATTTCTAGTAATTTCTAGACGTGCTTAGTCGGTCTAGGAACTCCGTGTATCTAGAGATTTCTAGGCGTGCTTAGACGTGCTTAGAGCTGGCGTGGACAGAGCGTGACTAGAGTCTAGAAATCTCTAGGCACGCCGTGGTTAGACTACCCTTTGCATTCGTTTGACTTCACTTCTAAAATAAACCTGTGAACTCACCGCGCCAATCAGTGTTCGTCGGCCAAATTTGACCGACGTTCTATATATGGTCATTCCTTCTGACGTCATCTTTGAGCCCGGAATTGACCAATGACATGCGCATATTTAATTAGAACTCATTTGGCGTATGTTTGTTCAAGCTCGCTGAATGGTGGAAGAAAGGTCAGCGCGTAGGTCAGAAGTGATTTATTAGCCAAACTGTCACCGGTACCCGTCGTGGGGACGGGACTACTAAACTGTAATATGGTCTCTACTAGGCAGAGTGTAGTTTAACTAGACTCTGCACGCAGGGTATGGTTAGACACAAGACAAAATTAGTCGTTATTTAATTGCCATGTGAGATTTTGCGCTATATATGGAAACATTTAAATTATAATTTACCGCACGTGTTAATATTTCGTGTTTTGCTTTAGCTAAATACGGGATATCAAATCAAAAAGAGTATGTTTTCACTTTATATCCGACTTGAGTCACGAAAAGTACATCGCAACATGGCTTCTTAATTGTTAACTTGTTATAAATTAAGAGGGTCTGTTTAAATGGGTATGTCCACTAATCAACACCCATTATTTCGCATTGACAAGTACCAGGGCCGAATCCAGCATTTGCTAAGGGGATGACTTTTGAATTATTCCAGGGGTGAGGTCACATTTGATATTTTCTCAAAAATTACACGAAAACTGCTCAAAATGGTGAAAGATTTATTGGCCAGGGGATACAGTATTATTTTAAACTAGACATCTCTATCGGCGAGGGGGGGCTAACTTATTCCAGGGGTGGGGTCACATTTGATATTTGTTAAAAAATCACACGAAAACTGCTCAAAATGGTGAAAGAATAATTGGCCGGTGGATGCAGTATTATTTTAAACAATACATTACTGTCGGCGAAGGGGAGGGGGCTAACATATAGTTTAAATTACATAATACGCTACCTTGGTGATCTATAAACATAATCTTGTCATAAACAACTACTGATTATTATGTGAACGGATATTTGTAAATTTGGTTTAAAAAGAAACTGAATATAGGGTAAAAATGAGGGAGACACAGACGTCGGAAGAGTGGGGATAAAATCTAATCAACACTAAGCTGAGACAGAATGAGAATCATATGTCTGGACTCACAAGATTTTCAAAAACATATTTGTTGATTGCTCACGAAAACAAAAACAAATTTCAGGGTTCATTGGCATCACACAATATTTGCAAAATGGGGGAGTGCATTTTCCCAGGATTTTAAACAATGCTATACTTTACATGTCGCCCCTCATACTAGCATAGTACGCTTTAACTATCAGATTCAGTAGCACCCTGCCCTTGATATATTAATACATAGTTTTCTTGTACCCCTTTTCAAAAATACAACGAACTAAATACATAGTAATAATGATCTTGGAATTGATTTCTTTGATCTGTAATCTAGATCACACAATAACTAATTAACTGTTTGATTGCGTTTTTGCTTCTTCAAAGACGGGATATCCCAAAATTACCTTGATTACAGCATTGGCTTTCAAGAGAGTCCATGATTGCAGTCTACATGGTCTATAGGCTATTTTTAATTCCTCGATATTTTAGTTGTGTATCTTTGAATCTGATTATCATATACAATTTACTTTAACCAATTTTACCCGTTTTTTGAACTTCAAAACTGTCACATACATATTGGTGGTCACTAATCATATTAGGACCAATAACAAATAACATAATTAAAACTGGAAAACATACAATACATATTCATCATCTCATCTATTTCTCCGGTTTGTATCTCCCGGTAATCTTTATGCCTTGAGCCACCCCCCCCCCTTACAGATACTTTAGATACACTTATTTTGACGCTACTTAATTTGACGAATTTGCTCAATAGTATAGTTTCCATATAGCTTTTGAAATCTCGCTAAATCTCGTTTTTCGTGAGATTTTAAGAGACTTGCATATTAGACCTCTAATGACTAACATTACCTTCTTTTAAATGGTATATTTGAATTCAGTGGAATGTTTTCTCCTAAAATAGCTTTGATTTACACAGTTATGTAATTTGAATAATTTTCTATGACAATTTAAAAAAAGTTGGGCCAAATGTCCATAGATGCAATGCTAAAATTCTTTAAAACCGTGGATTATTTGTATGTCAATCAACATTAGCATGTTTAATCACAACATGTTCATAAACAGGGTCATCATGTGGTATATCATTCAAGTTTTATACAGATTCAACAAACACACTTTGATAAATCATGAAATTAAGCCACTTTTCCAAGATTTTAGCATGTAAGTGAATGGAGCTCTAGCCAGAGTTAAAAGCTGAATAAAAGATGGCAGCACGAGGTTTCATTGATTTTTCTGCTATTTAGAAACTATCCTATTTCAAATATTGGCGGCTATTTAATTTGGCGGAATCAGGACTGAAGTTTAATTTTTGTCTATGTTTATGCATGGGCTATAAAAAGATTCTCTTGAAAGCCCATGGTTTATGTCATTAGGACGGGTATTTACTAAGATATTTTCTGTATTTCTTTTGGGATAATGTATGACATGTTGATGACATGCTCAGTTGACAGGAAAAGGGGCCCCACAAGTTTAATTTCTGAAGTGCATTTGACAAAAATTCCAAACTGAAATTTGACGGATTTTAATTTGGCGGATTTTCTGACTCCGTCAATCCGTCTAATTAAAACGGGAGCCAAATTAAGTATCTTCAGTTATATCAATATTATTTTGTATCTATCTGACATTATAATTTCGAAGAGAGATTCTCCGGGGAACATTCTGGATTTCGAACATAATAAACTTAATTTGAAATTGAATCTGAAATTCTGTCAGAATGGAATACATGGACCTGGTTACATGGTTTATCTTATTCTAAATGGACAAATAAGATCGCAGGGGCAGGGAACTCCTCCGTTGTTGACATTTTGTTCATATAAAAGGCATTTGCATTAATCCTTTTGATAACTTTATTTCTTAGTTGGTCTCTTGACCCGAAACATTCTGGCTACAACAATACAATTGAGTTTTGGAGAAAAACCGCCCTAAGAGGAACGTTGGAGCTTTTTAAGACCACATTAAGCCCCTACTTTAACTAACATCCTAGTAACCCATGTTAAGGCCAAGCTTTTCCAGGATATCTTCAATCAATCCTCAACCCCTGTTAAAGACCCATTTTACAGGGTGTCTACACCGGGGCCTTCCCCCTTGGCCTTGACCCTCGTTAAAATCCTACTTTTGAAGGTAACATACCCCTTCAACCTCTCTTCAAAACCCTACTTGTACAGGGTACCTACCCCTAAATCCCATATTAAAGCCCTTATATTTCCCGGGTACATACATACCCCCCTCCCTCTCAAGCCGTACTTTTGCTGTTCCCCACAGCTGAATTCATTTGTGAACTATTGTTTTGTATAATGAATCCTGGTGGATGTGCAGTGGCGTAGGAACAATATACGCCAAAACGCCAATGCGTAGTGTTGAAAAGCTAGAATGAAATAGCTTAATAATTTCCTTATGTTCTTTAGTCATATTTCCTCATTGTTAATAAATTGTTTGTGATCTCGAGCACACTAAAGAAATGTTTTTGGAAACCATGTAATATGTTCGATTTTTTCAATAGTACTCTTTGCAAGGTTTTTGTTCCTCTGTTACTTTTTTCTAGCTTCGGCCACGATAAATGGCACTTTTTGGCGTAAAAATCAAGCTGATTTGGGGTAGAGGGTTATGATAGTTGGAAGTTTAAGCCAGTAAAAATGAAAGTACATTTCAACTTCAGTTCTAGGAAAGCAATTACCCTAATTTCTATTTTATTTGAAATATAATAGATTATTATTTTAGGAAATAAAGCATTTAGGCACCAATAATTATTTTGAAAGGAAAAAACAATTTACCACAAAATGTCACGTTGACTTTTGCATGGGCTTTATTTATCTTATAAAAAAAGTTGAAGACATTAGAGTTATGTTGTATCATTGATCACGGACATGTTTCTATTGATCATACTAGTTTCTTTAATCTGTATTGTTGAGATTTAAAAGATCGGCTTTCCATGGTGATTTTATATCATGAAAAACATTCGAACATTTTAAGCACAATTAGAAAGG